TACAATCCCTTTCCCTTCCTCTCCCCACAACAGACACCCTGTGAGGTAGGTGGGGCTGAGAGAGCTCTTTCGAGAACAGCTTGTGAGAGAACAGCTCTGAGATTACTTTTGATTGACCCAAGGTCACATCAGCAGCTGCATGTGGAGGACTGGGGAATCAAACTCAGTTTTCCCAGATTACAATCCACACCCTTAACCACTACACCAAACTGGAAGAGGGGGAGTTTATTTCAGATGAAGAGGTAGAGGACATCTCTGTCCCAGAACAATCTCTTCACTTCTTCAAGTCTGAAGACTAGCAATACTTGCTGACTAGGGCACTCGCGGCCTTAGAGCTATGAGACCCACCGTCTGGGGACGATATCTCCAATTCTGGCATCAACCACAGAAATAAGTCAATGGGCAATAAAGGGCCACTCCAGACAGTCCTTCAAGAGGAATTTCAACAACCCCAGAATCTCCAGACAGTCCTTGGGAAGGCCTGACAAACAGAAACGGGACCTTAAGCCCAATAAAGCATGACTGAAGTGACATTCCGGTAGGAGGCTGTCCATTCCATTCCATTCCATTTTCTTTTTTCTTTTTTTGAATTAATTTTTTTAATTTTATAACAAACAAACATACATACATACATATAAATATACAATTTGCTTATATCTTGTTTTGTTACCTCCTACATTATCTAGTTGTATATTAGCCATTTTTTCACTAAATAGCTAAAATATAAGTATTCTGCATTACATTTAAAAGTATAATCTGTAGATTCTTGTAATTATATATTGGTATTGTTCATTTAATGTAATCTTCCAATCATTTATAAAATCTTGACCAAATATTTTGGAATTTTCTTTCCTCTTATCCTCTCAAAATTAAAGTATCCATCTCAGCGGTTTCAAGGATCTTATTTATCAGTTCTTCTTTGGAAGGTATTTCATTTTTCCTCCAGTGTTTGGCATATAGTATTTTTGCAGTGGTTAGTACATTTATAATAAGATAAAAATCCTGGTTTTTTTTTTACAGTTTTCTGGCTTTATATTCAATAAAAACAGCTTGGGTATAAAAGGTATGGTACATTCTAACTTTTTGGGGAACATTTCATGGATCCAAGACCAATACTTATTAACTCTGTCACATGTCCACCACATATGAAAAAATGAACCAACATTTTTTTTGTTACATTTCCAACAATCATTTAGTAAATCAAGATAAAATATTGCTAGTTTATCTGGAGTCATCTGGAGTCATGTACCATCTATAAAACATTTTATAAATATTTTCTTTATATGAAGTTGCTTTGGGAATTTTTACATTTGTTTTCCATACCTGTGACCATTGAGCTAAATCAATATTATGGCCTAAGTTTTGTGCCCATTTAACCATAGAATTTTTAATTATTTCATCTTGTGTTTTATTTTCCAACATTATTACATACAGCTTTTAAATCAATTTTTCCTCAGTATGTAACAGTATCTTGTCTATTTCAATCAGCATGGCAAGAATTGCAAGCAGACTCCTGGATCTTAGAGATAGTCTCACATGGCTACACCCTGCTGGACCATTTTGTTGCCTCCCCATTTTGTTGTCTTCTTTGACCTTCAATCTTTCCCAGCATCAGGGTCTTCTCCAGTGAGTGCTCCCTTCTCATTTGGTGGCCAAAGTATTTGAGCTTCAGTTTCATTATCTGGCCTTCCAGGGAACAGTCAGGGTTGATTTCTTTTAGGATTGACTGATTTGATCTTCTTGCAGTCCAAGGGACTCTCAAGAGTCTTCTCCAGCACCATAGTTCAAAAGAATCTAGTCTTCGGCGCTCAGCCTTCCTTATAGTCCAACTCTTGCAGCCATACATGACTACTGGGAAAACCATTGCTTTGACCATGCGGACTTTTGTTGGCAGGGTGATGTCTCTACTTTTTATCATGCTGTTTCTACAAGTCTTTAAAGCATAGACATGAAAATTTGCCCCACTCTCAAAAATAATTTTCAAAGCTACCCACTGAGAATCAAGTAACATTGATGGGGTGGGTGCGGAATCCTGGCTGCAGTGTTTGAAACCTCTGTAGCTTTTGTCTGTAGAGTTCTAACTTTAGTTAGTTTCTCTTAGCCATTGATTCTGCTGCCAAGGTGTTATGGAATGATTTATGAACCTTCAGATTGCTCAGGAAAGAAATAACAACCAAGGTAATCAGGCACCTCTTGGACATTCATGCCATAGAACCCGTTCCCTCATTCCAGAGAGGCCAAGGACTGTACTCCATATTTTTCACAGTTCCCAAAAAGAATGACTGGCAGACAATACTGGGCTTGAAATATATGAACAAAACAATCAAGCTCCACCACTTCCACATGGAGATGCTAAAATCCATCACTCAGGAACTCCAACCTCAAGAGTTTCTGGCCTCCCTAGACCTCTCAGAGGCATAACTGATACTTCTACTTCACCGCAGATACCTCAGATTCTGTGTCAGGAAGTTGCATTTCCAGTTCAGGGCACTACTGTTTGGCCTGGCTACTGCCCCACGGGTATTGACCAAGGTCCTGGTCAACCTGATAGCCCACTTGAGAACAATGGGGATTCGTGCCCACCCATTTCTGGATGATCTCCTCATTTGGTTCAGTTCCAGGGGAAAAGCTATGTTGGACATCCAGCAGACCATATTCTGTCTGTAACAACACGATTTCCTAATCAATGTGGCCAAGAGTTCCTTGTTCCCTTCCCAGAAGCTGGAGCATTTAGGAGTGGTGATAGACACCAAACTGAATTCACTATTCCTTCCAGATGAGAAAATACAGAATACCAGACAATCGGCAGGTTCGATTGTCAGCCAGATGGGTGTCAGAGCTCGGTGCCTTATCAACTAAACCAGAACTTTGTATTTTTCACAAGGACAAGATGGTCCTCAGAATGGACCCTATGTTTCTTCCCAAGGTTCCCTCCAGGTTCCACAGCGCACATGAGGTATTCCTTCCATCTTTCTGTCTGAATCCTATGCATCTCTGAGAGAGATCCTGGCATACCTTAGATATACGGAGAGCACTCAAGGCTTGCTTGATATGGATGGAACACATTAGGACATCGGAATCCATATTCATCAACATTTCCCCTCCCAACCAGGGGAATGTATGTCTAAGTCCGCAATCAGCCTTGCAATCAGACGATGCCAGCTTAACTAAGGGACCGCCTTTCCCCATATGTTCCCCAGCGAGCACTTCGGTCCGGGATGTGACATCTCCTGGCAATGCCAGGCCCCAAAGAGGCCAGGCTGACTGCTACCAGGGCCAGGGCTTTCTCGGTGGCGGCTCCTACCTGGTGCAATGAGCTCCCGGAGGAGATCCGGGCCCTGCGGGACCTTGTACAGTTCCACAGGGCCTGTAAGATGGAGCTCTTCCACCAGGCATATGAGTAGGAGCCACCACTACCACCACTCTCCATCTTACCCTGGCCCTGGAGGAGGGAACGTCAGTGCCCCCAGAGCAGATGATGCTGAATCAGTTTGAAATACGCCATCTGTGAACACCGAGAGCACTTTAGTTAGTTAATAACTTATTAAGAATGTTTTGTATTTTATGGATTTTAAATGGTTTTGAATATGTTTTTATATTGGCGTATGCCCTTATGTAAGCCGCCCTGAGCCCGCATTGCGGGGAGGGCGGGGTATAAACTGAATAAAATAAATAAATAAATAAGCATATAAGTGTCTTAAGTTAAAGGTTCCCAAAGGTGTTATGGCACATTCTGTCAGGAGTGCAGCCACCAATGCAGCATTCACCAAACAGGCATCAGTGGAAGAGTTTTCAGAGCAGTCACGTGGTCCTCCATTTCCACTTTTGTTCACCATTAAAAACTAAATGTGTACAATTCAGCAAAGGCAGCATTTGGCAGAAGAATGCTACAACATGTGATGGAAGATGATGGTGATGCCCCACCCTAGTTGGTCATTACTCTGGGAGAGCCCAAGATGTCCTCCACCTCAGAAGGAGACTGACCATTGGCACTTACTGTGAAGGGTCCTTCTCCCACAGCATCACCATTGATTAGTCACTCTGTCATTCTGCTGCTATTCTTGTTCTACTGACCTTTAGATGTTTATATTCTATTCAAGTTTTGGCCTTTCATGTTTAGTTTGTTACTGTTTCTACTCATCTCCATCTTGGTTTGGAGTGGGTGGAGTGAGAGTTCCTTTTGGTGAGACTGCTTCTCAGAGTACTTGAACTGAGGTTTGGGTGTTCCCACTCCACAGGAAGAGGAAGAAGTTTGATTCCTGCCTCCCTGATTGGATGGTGGGAAACACCCAAGATGTCCTCCTGTCTCCAGAGGAGAACGACCCTTCGTGGTAAACGCCAGTGGTACTTTTACTTGCATGAATAAGGCCAAAAATATATTGGGATATGCTGACTTCCTTGAATAAAGTTGTAACATGCAAAGAAGACATCACTTGGGTTTTTAAGGCCAGTCTGAAGGGATTGACCTATAGTACTTGTAGATACTATCCTCCTCCAGAAAGTTGCTAAAGAAAAGTGGTGAGGGTTCATTTTAATTTAGGAACTGGGCACACAGTTCCATGGAAGCTGCTATGTCTGTATCTGCTTAGGAGAGGAACTAGACAGGAGTGTTTTCGTAACTAGTTATAATGAGCAGAACATAGGAGAAATTCTCTGTCATATGGCTTGTCACATCTGTTACTGTCTCCTGTCCTTTCCTGTTTCATTCAATGAACCTGGCATGCTTAGGACAGTGTCAGGGCCAGTGGGACATAATATTTCCCATCATCCCCAGTGGATAAGCTGCTGTTGCCAAGGGAGAATGTCAGTCCTCATTCCTGAGCAAAGTTTGAGTCCAGTGGCATCTTTAAGAACAAAGTTTTATTCAAGGTATAAGCTTTTGTGTGCACACATACTTCTTTGTGTGCATGCACACATTGCTGTTAGTGGAAAGCAGCAACTTGTTGTTCAACATTCACTCCAGTCAGTTGTTAATAGATGACACTTCTCTTCTTCCACAGGAAACTGCATTGCATGAGAAATTTCATCCATATGAATCTGTTTGCTTCATTCATCCTGCGAGCCGCAGGGGTTCTCATAAGGGACAGTATAACACACAATACTTACGTGTTTGTTTATTTTGGCTCTGAAAAGCCAAGTGATGAAAACGGATGGCTTTCCTTCTTGAGTGTGGAGGTATTACAATGAGTTCTAACATCTTGTACTAATATTAAATGGGAAAACAGGTGCTGGGCATTTGCATGGGTTGATAGTGAAATTTTGAAAACTGGAAGTTTGCTGTAAAATTACAGTTGATTGAATTCCTTCAGCACAAGGTGTTTCATGCTGTGAATTCTTTGCTCCTCAAAGTCCCCACAGTGTTTGAAAAGATAGTAATTCATGGGTAAATGCAAAAATAGTTGGTATGTGTAGTAAACTGATTTATTTACAAAACATATGCAAATGAAGAACAAGATTATTTAAAAGGTTCACAAAATAATAAACAAATGGTGCAGCAATGGTCCAATTTCAGCAACAGCCAAAATTACAGCAACACAGAGCTGCTAAATAGATGCTGTTTTATTCCTTGTCTCAAAGGATGTGAAATTAAGTTCATTAGAAATGTGATGATGGCCTGACTGTTATCTATCAGAAAGCACTTAAAATTTGCACCCAGCAAACTCTGTGTGAAAATGGGTTAAGTCCTTTTTGGGAGGTTTGGTAACTATTAACTGCATTGTAATTTGTCCATATATCTTACCAGTCACTAATTGGTTCTCATTCTCCAAATTTTAGTGCTTGTTTAGATGGTAGCTCCTTGTGCTCCTGGTTAGGCACTGCAGTACTCAAGCAAGAGTCCTGAATGGATGGGGGGGGGACTAGTCTTGGAAGAAGTATGTGCGAGAAGGATCTAGGGGTCTTAGTAGACCATATACTGAACATGAGTCAGCAGTGTGATGCGGTAGCTAAAAAGGCAAATGCAATTTTGGGCTGTATAGTGTCCAGATCACGTGAAGTGATGGTATCACTTTACTCTATTCCAGTTAGACCTCAGCTAGAGTATTGTGTTCAGTTTTGGGCACCACAATTTAAGAAGGATATAGACCAGCTGGAACGTGTCCAGAGGAGGGCAACGGAGATGGTGAGGGGTCTGGAGACCAAGTCCTATGACGAAAGGTTGAAGGAGCTGGGTATGTTTAGCCTGGAGAGGAGACAACTGAGAGGTGATATAACCATCTTCAAGTACTTGAAGGGCTGTCATCTAGAGGATGGTGTGGAGTTGTTTACTGTTGCCCCAGAAGGTCAGACCAGAACCAGTGGGTTGAAATTAAATCAGTTTTCAGCTAAACATTAGGAAGAACTTCCTAACAGTTAGAGTGGTTCCTCAGTGGAACAGGCTTCCTCAGGAGGTGGTGGGCCTAGATGGCCATATAACAGCAATGCTGATTCTATGAACTTAGATCATGAGAGGGAGGGCAGAAAGGATTCCATCAGTGCCACTGTGTGATACAGAGTGTTGGAGTGGATGGGCCTTTGGCCTGATCCAACATTGGCATCTCTTATGTTCTTATGTTCTTTTTGCCCTTTCTTACATGCCCAGGAAAATGCTGATCCCCACTTTGGGGTCAGGAAGCAATTTTTCTCCAGGCCAGATTGACTGGAGATCCTGGAGGGTGTTTTTGTCATCTTCCGGGTGTGGAACAGCAGTCACTGGGTGTGTGTGGCGGGGGTTAGACTAGATGACCCTGGAGGGCCCTTCCAATTCTATGATTTTATGATGCTTAGGGATATAACCAGGTATCTTTTGACTTTGAATGGTCTGCAGTCAGCACACAGAGCCCACCATGAAAACTATACTCCTGGTCCTAGTCAGACATAAGGACTGACAGCAAATTGACTTGTCTAACTCCTCATGTTGTTTTGGGGAGTAGGGATTTGATTAATCTGTCAAGCAGCATTTGATAATTTTCTGCTTTTACCAGTTTGGGGCATATTGTCATATTTTTGTTTCACATTCCTTGTAATAGACACCTCACTACTTAACTGGTCCATCTTTCTTTCTGTGAAATGCTATACTCAGCAGGATTAAAGTTAAGTGGTTAGGATACTGTATTTGGGTTTGGAAGATGCTCATCATCACAAAGCTAGACTAAATACTCTTCCCTTATAACTTTATGGTTTTGTGGAACTCAGAGTGACTTTAGATGTTAATGACATACATAAATACAGGAAGTATAACTCATTAATGCTTCTATATTTTTGCATATCATTGTCAAGGCTAGCAGCAGAGAGGAAGGGACTCAGGAGCCAAGCAAGCATTATTATATACAAAGCCAGATAGAATTCTATTGGCTTCTCAGGTCAACTGATCCTGTTGTATTGTGACCATCAGTAAGGATCATACAGATATCATGCCAGTAGTTCCCTTGGCTTGAATGCTACGAATGGTGGTGCTTCAATGATACATCATCCACTTTGCACGCAGAATGTCCCAGGGGCAAGCTCTGGCATTGTTAGCATTATGCTCAAATGGGAATTTTTCAGTTTATCAGTTCCCTCAAGGAATCTGTACTGTGAGCGAAAAGCATTCTAGCTGTCTATCTAACTCAAGGTTGGAGGAAGATCCAGAGACTGCATATTTCTCCCTTGAAGGTTAGATAAAGATAGAACAAAGAGAGAGGTAACCAGAAGGAAGTCTCTAAGAATAGCAATCTGAGATCAAAGAGACAGCAGCAGAACAAAGGATGCAGAGAAATCTGACCTATCCACTTTAGTAGCTTTACTCCCTCTCTATAGTACTGGTGTACTTGGCGCAGAGATACATGAATTGTCCTTCACTTATAACAGGCATCTCCAGTTGAAAGGATTAGGTGGTAGGTAGACTTGCACATGGGAGTTTGTTTCATTTCTTTCATTTTTATTATTAACTAGGAATAAGGCCTGTTGTGGAAATAAATACAATGAGCTCTAGAAAGAGGCTCTGGGTGGGTGCCCTGGCCTTGGACACCCACCATCAATTTGTTGTGGTGACCTTAGCAGGGGAACTGCTCTCTGCCATCTAAAGAGCAGTTGTAATTCTGAGTGATATCCAGCCCTCCCCTGGAGATTGGCAACAATGGTTTCTTAGGAAGAACTGGCTGGTTTGGAGGGTGGAGTCTATGGCATTGCCATAAACAGATGCAATATCACAGTATACAATATACAGAAAGCAAGCAAGCACTGTACAAATAATGCAGACCACAAGTGCTCAAACAGTCATGCAAAAAAGTAAATTTATATAACAAGAATAACAGAGGACCACATGTATCTGTAAAACCAAATTACATCATATAATGTACAGGTCCATGAATATTGCAAGTCCATAAATGGTACACAGACAAGGACGAAGACTCTGGATTGTGATCTTCGTTTCGATAGCTCTTCTTCAAGAAGTTCACACTACCACAATTACAAGTAAAACCAAACTATTAATATCATATACTACAATCAAACCCATATCCTGAATACTAAGAGGCAAAGATTACCTTCATAAAGCACTCATAATGTACAGAAGACTTTAAAATGGTATATATAGGAGGAATCCTTAGCACAGCACTCACAGTGTATAAAAGCCTTCAAACCAGTATTACAGGAAAAAACTCTGAAACAAGGAAGAATAGGAAAATACTTTTATAACATTATTATTTACAGTAACAATACACAAAAACTATTGAAGGGTCATAATGCTCACCAATCATATCATAATCATTCAAAGCCAGGCACCCGATCAACAATAGAACAAACTCTCCAATATTTGGTAAGCCTCAAAAAATAATTAGCACCCAAGGCTTGATATACTGTAGCCAATATCTATTAGGCACCATAGCAGTCAAAAGTTTTAAGGTGACAAAAGATTGAAAGACCAATTACTATTTCTGCTCATAAGTAACAACTATGTAGCAGCAACTCATAAGTAGTAGCCAGGTTCTAATGATTGATTAAGACCATAAGGGTAATTGAAAAACCAGTAACTATTTCTACAGCTAAATTCTGGAGACAAGTTACCACAACTCATAAGTAACAGCCAAGTTCTAATGATTGGTTAAGACCATAAGGATCATATGTTTTAAGTTTAAAAATCCAAAATGCTTCACATTGTCTTAACCTTTTTTGAACATCTAAACTCATATATTGGTGAGTTTTAAGTATTCCAGGACCACAAATTGAAAATCACTAGAAGACTGCTTCATATTCATGTAATGTTGAACTAAAGGAGAATCTAGATGTGAGTTTCTAATGCAGGACGTATGCTCAATCATACGAGTTCTAATAGTTCTAGTTGACATCCCTACATACAAACATGAACAAGGACATTTTAAGAGGTACACAACTTGTCTAGTATAACATGAGGAAAAAAAATTCAAATCATATACAAAATTTATACTTGGAATCTCAATTCTGCTTGTTTTCCAAACAAATGGGCAAACAGAGCACCTGCCACATGGATAGTGGCCACTACGTGTCACTATGGTATTAGAGTTGCAAACTTGAAAATCAGAATGTACTAATGTATCACGGACATTTTTAGTTCTCCTGAATCCTATGAAAGAGCGATTTTGACAGCCTGAAATGCCTTCCACAATATGCCAATGCTTTAAAAATTTGTTTTTAATTTGAGATGCCAATGGTGTAAAGTCAAAAGCACAGGACAAAGATTGCTGACTACGTCCTGTCTCTTTAAACAGATCTGAACAATCGATATTGGCAGCCCTAACAGCTGCATGTTGAATAATCTTTGTTGGATAGCCTCTCTCCTTGAATTGTTGGGAAAGTTTAAAGGATTCTATCTCATAATGTTGATTAAACATGGAATTCCTTTTGGCCTTCAAATACTGTCCAAAAGGTAAATTCTCACGTATATGTCTGATATGGTGAGACTGATAATGAAGGTATGAGTTTTTATCAGTACTTTTAGAAAAAGGTTTAACAGCCAGAGTACCTGTTGTTGAAATGAAAACAGTAGTGTCAAGAAAGTCAATGCTATCAGGACTACTCTGAAAAGAAAATGTAATGGTTGGATGTACAGAGTTAAGCCAATGAACAAACTCAAGAATGTGAATGTCTTTACATAAAAAGAAAAGATCATCTATGTATCTTGTTATATGAATTTACTTTTTTGCATGACTGTTTGAACACTTGTGGTCTGTGTTATTTGTACAGTGCTTGCTTGCTTTCTGTCTATGGCATTGCACCTGAGGACCCACCCCTCCTTAACCCCCACCCTCTCCAGGCTCCACTCCTCAAATCTCCAGAAATTTCCCAACCTGGAGATGGCAGCCTTATCTCCTTCCCAGCCAACCCACAACCAACCTTTATCTGCCCCTCTGAATTCAGCTTTCCATCTCCCCCCCCCCTCCTGCAGCCTCTGTCTAAGAAAAGTAGCTCACCTCAGTAGCCAAGCAGGAGAAGTGTCTTTGTTAGGCAAAACAGCTGTTTTTGGCAGTTCATTCTGTCAGGGAAGAGGCCAAGCTGGCAGTGGGCAGTGGAGAGGAGCAGACCCAGCACCCAACCAATGGCATGTGAGTACTCTTGAGTGATGGGCCAATGGCTGATGGAGCACACAGTGCAGCGAATGGGAGAGATGGAAAGTGCCAGTGCATTAGGGCTTTCATATATATATCAGATTCCAAAAGGAACTGTTTTGTTATTGGGTTGTTCTGTATGATTTTCCCCCCCGTTATTGTTTCCTTCACTGTCGTTGTTTCATTTTTTAAATTTTATTATTATTTCCCATTAGTCTCAATGGAAGATAACCCCCTTTTGTCAGTTCCGTACTTTCATGGTTTTCCATCCAAATTGGACAAAACTCAGGGGGATTGTAGCACTCCTTGAGGGTAACCATATCCTCAAACTTCATACATAAAATAAGCCCCCCCCCCGAGATCATAAAATGCACCCCTGTTTAACATTTAAGTGTATGGGATAATTAATAGGAAAGACTCCAAACTGCAACATAGCCACTTGGCTTGAAGAGCAGTAGCATGAGGAAGAGGCATACTGACAAGACAAAGGCATTTGGTGGCAAAAAGAAGGTAAGGCATCTGGGCAGGCAGACAGCAGGAGGAGGACCTTGAGGTAGATTTGCTTGGATGGGGGATCGGATTTGGAAAGAATCAGACAAGCAAGGAGAAATCTGGCACGGCAGGGCAGGGCATTGGGAGAAGACAGGAAGGCAGTGTCCCACCCAAGATCCTTCAGGGCTGGAATACCATACACATGTACGGTACTTAGTGGCTACAGCTTGTAGCCAATCATAAAGAGAACACTGTGTTCTCTTTATGTCTTTTATTAGGAAAATGCCAGTTGACTTATAAAATGTAGAGATTGAGGTAATGAAAGAAACCAGAAAAAGAAGGAAAAGAAGGGGGAGTTAATGGGCTGTTTGTTTTGTTTTCCAATTCATTACAATAATTACGAAACTCCCAGTTTTCATAATGATTATAATTAATAACAAAAGAAATCCACAAGTCTAGTAGTAGGCGACAGGAAAGAGCTCTGCGTGATACCTTGGAGATCTGCTAGCAGATAGTAGATTTAGGGTTGCCCGCTATCTGGAAGAAGAATGTCTTGTTTCTTTAATCCAGGTGGGCAGCTGTGTTGGTCTGAAGCAGTAGAACAAAGTTTGAGTCCAGTGGCACCTTTAAGAATAACAAAGTTTTATTGAAAGTATGAGCTTTCGTGTGCACGCACACTTCCTCAGATACAGTAAAACAGAACTCACCAGTCCATAACAACAGGGTCTCAGTTATTTGATCTTTGTATTCCACAATTTAGTAGGATAAGTTTACACATCAGTCTCTGAGTCTAACGTAGCTACTCTGTGCTTTCCCATGGGATGGAATCCAAACATATGATGACCATGTGGACTTAATTTGTTATCTTTGTTTGGTTTTTGCATCTGTTAAAATATTTTAATTATTATAAATGGTAACCATATAATCCAAGCCTGTTATTCCTGATTCTGATAAATATCTTCATTATGTTTTGTGCGAATTTACTGAAATGGACTGTTAAGTTCCATTTCACTGTATCTTAGGAAGTATGCATGCACATGAAACCTCATACCTTGATTAAAACTTTTTGGTCTTAAAGGTGCCACTGGACTCAAACTTTGCTCTATTGTTTCTTTAGTAGAGGATGTTATTTACCAGGTGAGGTTATCTGATGTTTACTCCCTTGCCATGAAAATTCAACTGTTCATTTCCCCACAACAAGCCTCTATTAAAGGGACAGGAAATTTCCCCCCAGTCCTGTCAAAATCCTATTGATAGACCAAGAGTTTGACAGTATAAGGCAGCATCTTGTTGTATGCTGCTAGTGCAGGTTATAAAGACATGGGTCCTGCTGACACTCTCCAGTTCAGGACCCCTGGAGTCTTGCAGTCTTTAGTATCCAAAGCTATTTTGATTTTTTTTTTTTTAAAAACAACCAAATATAGCTATGAAGACGAGGGTTTCAATTTCTATGTATTTATACATCTCACTAAGTATCAAGTTACATTAAAATATGGCTATATGATATCATTATTTTTTCTTATTCTCTCATTTCTGCAGAAGTTAACTGTTTGCAGGGTGGTCCAACTTTTCATGCATTACTTCATTGGAGCAAATTTTTTCTGGCTTCTAGTGGAAGGAATTTACCTCCATAGGTTATTGGTAACCACCATGCTCTCTGAGAAACACCTGCTGCAGAGATGTATGTTCATTGGATGGGGTAAATATGTATATTTCTCTAGAACATGACTTACAATTCACTTTCTCTTTCTGGCCCATGCTGTTAGGGTTCCCAACTGGCCTAGAAAAAAATGTCCTGTTCCTTTAATGGAGGCTTAATGGGACATTATTTACCAGGTGATGTTATTTACCTCAGTACCATAAAAAGTTTTTCTCCATGCCTGTTGGCAACCCTATGACAAAATCAGTAATGTTTCCTCATCTCCTTACATCCCATCCCCTTACATTGTGTGTGTGTAGAGTGTCATGAAGTCGCAATTGACTTATGGTGACCCCAGTAAGGGGCTTTCAAGGAAAGTGAGAAGCAGAGGTGGTTTGCCACTGTCTTCCTCTACAGTCTCCCATCCAAGTACTGACCTTGCTTACTTTATGAGATTTGACAAGATCGGGCTATACCAGGGGTGGCCAAACTTGATTAATGTAAGAGCGAAATAGAATAAATGTCAGATGTTCAAGAGCTGAAAAACATGAACAAATATTACACACATTTTTATTTTAAAATATGCAAAATTGCTTTTTATTAAAATTAAATGAGATTGCCAAAAATAAACAAAAGGGGTAAAAACAGATATTTGATAATGATATTTATTTGTCCAATGATATTTACTTGTTTTCTAATGATATTTATTTGTCTAAGAGAGAGAGGTGGAAAGAAAAAATGAAAGAAGTGGAAAGAAAGAAAGAGAAAGAGAGAAACAAAGAAAGCAAATAGATGGGGAGGAAGGGGGAAGGAAGAGAGAGAGAGAGAAAGGAAGAGAGGGAGGGAGGGAGAAAGAGAAAAAGAGAAAGAAAGGTGGGAAGAAAGCAAATAGATGGGAAGGGGGAGGGGAGAGAGAGAAACAAAGCAAATAGATGGGGAGGGGGAGGGGAGAAAGGAAGAGAGAAAGAGAGATAGAAAGAATCAAAGAAAGCAAATGGGGAGGGAGGGGAAGAGAAAGAAAGAAGTGGAAAGAAAGAAGAGAGAGAGAAACAGAAACAAAGAAAGCAAATAGATGGGGAGGGAGGAGGAGGGAGGAAGAGAGAGAAAGAAAGTCAATGAGGGAGGGGCAAGAAGGAAGGGGGAGAGGGAGAGGAGGGTGAGGGAGGGAGGGAGGGAGGGAGGGAGGGAGGAAGAAAAGTGAAAAGAAAGGAGATGGAAAGAAAGCAAATAGATGGGTGGAAGAAGAAAAGAAGACAAAGAGAGAGAGAGGTGGAAAGAAAGCAAATAAACGGGGAGGGAGCAGTGGTGGATCTACATTTTTGGGACCCTGAAGTTTGAACTGTTATAGGGGCCCCTTTTCAACCATTGCCTTATGATTCAGCCACTAAAATAGCCTTATTTTAATAACAAACACTTAAAAAGACCTCCTTCAATTTTGTTGAAAAATTGACTCATTAAAAAAAAAAGTTGCTTCCGGGCCCCTCCTGGATTAGGGGCCCTGAAGCTTAAGCTTCGTTAGTTTCATAGTAGATCCACCCCTGGGAAGGAGGAAGGGAGGGAGGGAGGAAGGGAGAGGTGGAAATAAAGGAACTTTAATTTTAAATGTGTTCTCCAACTCCTCCCCCATGCCCCCATGCCAGCCGGCTTGGCTTGGAGAAAGAGACAAATGCCTTCTCCAAGCTGGTGGGTAGGGCCATGGGGCAGGGCTTGAAGAATGCCTTTAGCTTTAAATGTATTCTCCAAGCCCCCCACTGCCATGCCGGGTTGACTTGGAAAAGGGTTTTAAAGAGACAAATATCTTCTCTGAGCCAAGCCAAGCTGGTGTGGTAGGCTTTGGAGAACACATTTACCTTTAGATGGGGAGGGAGGGGAGAAAGAGAGAACAAGAGAAAGAAAGAGAGAGAGAAAGAGAGAGAGAGAGAAGGAAAGAAAGAAAGATGGAAAGAAAGTGGAAAGAAAGTAAATAGATGGGGGGAGGGAGAGATGGAAAGAAAGCAACTTTAACTTTAAACATGTCCTCCAAGCCCCCCCCCCCGGTCCCCACACCAGCCAGCTGGCTTGGCTCAGAAAAGGGATTTAAAGAGACAAATGCCTTCTCCGAGCTGGCCACCGGGGGGGGGGGGCTTTGAGAACACCTTTAAAATTAAAGTTGCTTTCTTTCTCTGCTCCCCCCACCTCGAGCTTACCCAGAGAAGTGAAAGGAAGACAAACTGGGGAGGCATACTTCCCCTTCACTTCCCCAGGCACCCTGCCGGAAGCCACACAATATGTGTGAAAGAACCTCATGCAGCTCCCAAGCCGTGGTTTAGCCACCCCTGGGCTATATAATGCTGCCTTCTCTCCAACCCCAGTATTTACTTATCATTGTTTAGGATTACATAATTCCAAATGTACCAGGTCTCAGGTTCAGTCCCCAGCATCTCCAGTTAAAAGGATCTGGCCTTAGGTGATGCAAAAGACCTTTGGCTGAGACTCTGGAGAGCTGCTGCCAGTCTGAGTAGACAATACTGACTTTGATGGACCAAGGGTCTGATTCAGTAGAAGGCAGCTTCATGTGTTCATGTGTTCAAGTATACCATAACTTCCATCAACGTTTTTATTTTCTTGTACTTCTAGGTGTTCCAGTTTTGTTTGTAGCCTCCTGGGGAATAATAAAATACCAACTGGAGCATGAAGGGTAAGTTATTGCCTCAACAATATCCTCCGAAATTGTTTTGCTGATTCCCTTTCTGCCTGTTTTAAGCCAATTAAAAACAATGGCTTGCTGTCTTTGCATAGATGTCTCAGGCTGGCTATAGACAACCATTTGTTTAATGGAAAATTGCTACAGAGGCAGTCTGACCATACAGTGAAGTCAATTTTGCTATCCCCCCCCTCCCCAATTATTCCACTTTTCTGATCAGTTGTGGAGGTTTGACAAATTCAGTCTTGAAACATCCAGTGGTGTTGCTTAGCATTGTTGAAGCTAAGAAGATTGGAACTGGTCAATGCTTGGATGAGAGAACATTGGGAGTCTAGTGGAAGCTCTCCCAAACTCTCTATTAAGAAAGAGTGGGGAGAACATGATGAATAAACAGACTCCATACAAGAGATGACTGGTCATATTAAACAATTCCTGCATAAGTGAGGTGACCTGTATTCAGTGCCTTTATTCCTCAGCCAGGATGGCCTGAGTCAAAAGTGATATCTCATCTGACACAGTATTTTTTATTTACCAATCTACACCTGCCTTAAATCATAAAGATATGATAATTAACCAGTTCAAAGGTCCCATTCCAACCGTAGTTTTAAAACTATGGGGTACTATTTTTATGTATAGAACATAAATGATACCTCTGGATTTGTCTTCCTTTCTAGATGCTGGGCAACAAATCGGAACATGACATTCTGGTGGATTATTCGAGGGCCTATATTTTTTTCCATTGCAGTAAGGATTTTGTTATTTATTTATTAATTTTTATTTATAAATTCAAATTTGATTGATGTGTTCCATAGTTGTAATAGTTGTTCTTTTATACAGTTTTTTCACAAAATAGTGGTACTGAGCCTTCTCCATTACTGGCTTATCTATGCATTGTGCAAATTAAAGATCTAATAAAGGAACTCGGGGGAAACTTAGGTGGAAGAAAAAAGACAGGACAGAGTCAAGCAGGTTCTGCAAAAAAAACCCCAATGGTTTTTAATGAAGATAGATCCAGATGGTCAGCCGTGTTGGTCTGAAGCAGTAGAACAAATGTAGAGTCCAGTGGCACCTTTAAGACCAAATTTTATTCAAGGCTTTTGTGTGCATGCACATCTTCATCATGCTACATATTAATTTGCTGTTCAGCCCCTGTCTATAAGTTTGAACATTACCTACCATTTCAGTGTATTTGAAAAAGTGTGCATGCACACGAAAACTCTTATCTTGAATTTAAACTTTGTTGGTCTTAAAGGTGCTACTGGACTCTAAATTTGTTCTAATGGTTTTTAAATGTGCATATGCTTTAGAAGACTGTATACTATAAATTCCATTCAAAGCAATGAAGATTGCATGCAAACAAATCAACTGACACAGGTCCACTGCTAATGTCAGAAGAGAGGAGGAGTTCAAGATGGCGGATGCTCCTCCACGCCATTAAGGAGAAATAAGTCTGTATTGGTTATTTTGTTCTCTCCTACCTGATATTTTTTGTACCAAGATTATTGAAGCTGTGCTGAGTACTTCCTCGTTTACTGGGAGTTGCTTTGTTGATTTTATGCATGGTGAGATTGGGCTTTTGCCAAATTTGAACTGATAATTAGGAGTATTTCCCTAACGACCAATCAGATATAGTTTTTCACCTACTAGGTGCTTATCTAGGACTAAAACAACTCTTAGCTCTTGCCTCTGGCAGTGATTATATTATAATGCCTAAGGCAGGGGTGTCAAACTCATTTGTTATGAGGGCTGGAGCTGACATAAATGAGACCTTGTTGGGCCGGGCCATGTGTGCCATAAAAGTAATGCCAGGTAGCAGAGATATAAACTTTATAAAGAACATAAACACAAAGGTTTTTTTTTACTTAAAATAAAAACATGCTTAAAACATGAGCACTCTTGCAATATTTTGCTTACTTAACAGTGTCTGATAACTGACACCTCTTGCTCCGAATTACTGCATCAAAATGTCTGTGCTGCTGCAATCTTGAATATGCTGTTCAGGTGTGTATCTGTAAACTGCAAACCTATGATGACGCCGCAGCAGCAGAACCAGAAGAAGAAGCAGAGGGCCCCTGCCACACAGGGGGAGAAAGCACGGCCGAAGTGCGGCTTTTTAGAGCCGCACCCAAAGAGACACGCGGCGGCGGGATGACATAGATCCCCTGAGCCGCTGTGCAGTTGCTCCCCGGCACGATCAGATGCTGGGGGGAAGCCACTGAAGGGAGAGCGAGGCAGCCAAACTGTGCACGTGTGCGCATGCACAGTGTGGCTGGGAACCTGGATTGCTCCTGAAGACAGGCGCTCCGGCGCTCCGATGGCCGTGCTTCCTGCAGCGTTGCAGGTAAGTCCTGCTCTTTAGCAGGTTCTTTTTTCATCTGCATTACCGGCCTGAAGGGGTGGATCGGGGACGGGTGCACGCCGATTCCCAGATGTTGCAGTGTGCTCACGCCCGTTTGCTGTGCCCCCAATCCGTCCCTCTTCCGGGCCAAGACCTCCCGTGTGACCGGGGCTGAAGACAATCAGTTCCACTGCAGGCCTGACAGAAGCCCTCTGGGGGCCTGATCCGGCCCCCGGGCCACATGTTTAGACTCTGTTGCAGACCCTCTAGTCACAAGTAATATGTTTGATATTTTGGTGGTTGAAAGTCAAGGAGAAGGAGAAGAGATATCTCTCTCAAACTACTGAAAATGCAGGTGTCTTGGAGATTACAACACAGTTTCCTAAGTTGTCAATGCCCTTTCCAGACAAGCTGATAAACTCACTCCCACTGGATAGCCTTGATGAAGGACTGAAAGAAAATATTTTAAAATTAATTGGTAATCAGTGCTTACTTACAGCTAAGACAGTAATTGAAATCTTCAAGTACATGAATAGGATAACAAGCCAGCTTGATGTTATTCTGAAATTTATTGGGAACTCAATGGAGAAAATCACCACAGACCAATCGAGAATCTATCTCAGAAGTAAGAACAATGAGGCTGATAAGAGTCATGACAGAAAAAATATGAAGGGAAAAGACTTGCAAAACCAACAATTAAAAAGCAGAAAAAATACACCTATTACACCCATAAAGGGAACAAAGACATATTAAATGCTGACAGAGAGACTGGGCTTACATGGGGGGAAAATAAGATAGCTTTGGAAGTGGCCCAGACTTCAATAAATCACAGCTATTGGACTGATAAAAGAAGAATATCCAACTCCCTGAATGCACTGCTCAGAATTGACTCTGTGGCTATTGACCTATTGGAAGTAGAAAGATTACCCAGTACAGGAAACAATTGAGGGTTGGTTTTAAAGTTTAATCAAACCACCATCCCCCTTATGTTATTAAGGATGAAAAAATTGAATCCTTTCAAATTTGGCCCAAAAGATTGTTTAGGGAAACTATAAGAAAGGTCCCTCCGTTGATTAAACCTAAACTAATATGCCACAACGAACATGAAATTAAGCGAACTCCAGAACACGACAGAAGACACTAGGGCCTGGTGTGATGTGGTCCATGGGGTCGTGAAGAGTCGGACTTGACTGTGCATCTGAACAACAATATGCCACAAGACCAGTTAATTGCACCCAGGCTACCATCTAATTCAGAGAGCTAATTCAGAGAGCTACAAGAAACACAGGAAACAATTATTGCCTTCTCTAACCCATTATCTTTCTTAAAGCCTCTCATACCCATGAACAAAGAACAGATGGACACCCTTTCCCTATTAACCGAATTGGGGAATCCATCAAAAGAAGAAAGACAATGTGAAGACTTGCCTTTTTCAGTTATGTTGTCTACAAATAGCATGACTAGTAATGTGCTGAGGAAGGGTATTGCTCACCTCTTACTTCCATCTGCCAGAATAGCGGACATTGTCTTCCTGTAGACCATAGAGGTGCGAGCAATGTTGTGGACTCTTTTCAGGGCCCTAACAAAGAAGAGGTGCAAGTTATGCCAGAACTGGGGCTCAACAATTCTAATGAGCCCCTTGCTTCAACAAGTCTAGCTCCAAAATAAATCTCTGGTTGACTATCCTTGTCCCATTGTCATAAAAATGACAATGAGTCCATTGAAATACTGTCCTGGAATGTGGCTGGGTAGACTTGTTGTCTTTCTATGTATATGGATGTACCTTTTTTACAGCATAACTTTGATACAATTTTATTGCAGGAAACATGGCTAGCAGAGACCCCAGAACTTGATAGATCTTACTCTTATAATTTAGGGGCGATTTTGGTTAAAGGACCAGGGAGACTGATGGGGGGGTTGAGTAGTTTTGTCTCCACCTCTCTGAAGGTGCAATGTGTGCAAAAAGAACCCCTACTCCATCTAGCTATGGCCTTATTGCTGAATTGGAAGGATGGAAGCCTTATCATTATAAACGTATATCTTCCTCCTGTAATCAAAAAAGAGATGAATTTCCTATATGCACTGTCCTTAAGTAATAACAGGGGGGAAAGTGTTGAGGGAGACTGTCATTCAGGCAGTGGGACAAAAGAACTCTGTCCTCTTCTGGAGGCTGGTGTAAGCTTTAACTTAACTCAGGTGTAAGCTTTCGTGTGCAAAGCACATTTCTTCACTTTACACACAAAAGCTTACATTTTGAATAAAACTTTGTTGGTCTTAAAGGTGCCACTGGACGCAAACTTTGTTCTGCTGCTTCAGACCAACATGGCTACTCCACCTGAATTTTTCTTCAGGGAAAAGGAAAGTTTGTGTGTGACATGTTTTCTGACTTGAAAGCTTTTGTAGCAAAATTAAACATTTTTGTGAAGGAAGTTAGTTAATTTGAGAAGGACGGATATTTACAATTCAGTGTTGAAAGCACTGAACCTATTGCAGGCAGAATTCCGGAACAGATTCACTGATTGCCATTAGCATGGAAAGGAAAGAAGAATGTTTCAGAATCCATTTGAAGTAGCACCAGAGGATGCAAATAACTTTTTCCAGATGGAACTACTTGATTTGCAAGCCAGTGATCATCTCAGAGACAGTTACAAAGAAAATAGTCTGTTAGATTTCTATTCTGGTCTACCTGATTTATTTATCAACCTAAAGAAATTTGCTGCAGGCATGTTTACAGTCTTTGGCATTACATCCATCTGTGAACAAACTATTTCCAAGGTGAAAAATTGTGAAATCCAAGTGTAGGTCAAGACTTCTGGATAAATACTTAACATGACATTTTAAGGGTGTGTGTCAGAAACCTTGGCTTGGACATTAATGCCTTGGCTAACAGAAAACAGCCACAAAATCACACTGACTAGGTAAGCATATATAGCTAGATGAAAGGATTTGACAGTAAAATGTTGTTCCAAAATGGATTGCATTCCAGTAACATTTCTTCATTGACCTTTGAATGTTTACTTTTGATCTAAATAGGTTGGTTAATAATTTTGTTATATTCTGATTTAAGATGTGGTCCTCTTTAGGCATTGGGCACTTTAATGTGGCCCCCATGTGCCAAAAGGTTGGAGACCCCGATCTAGCCGATGACAACCACACCTATGTTATTTGACTCCAATACTTATTGAGGTTAACTGGTGTGGTTAGTCCAATCACCATTAGTTAGCAGAGTGCTTAAATAAAGCTACAAATGCAGGAGCATCACTTTACCAGGTTACTCAGCTTACAAAGCTACACAGAGCCACATTGCAAGTTTAGAAGAGAAATATTTATCTCTTTATTTGAGAAGTACACTTTGGATAGGAAAGAGCAGAGACTGATAGATTACTAACTTACTAGCTAAAGGATG